CGGATTGAGGTCGCGGTGGTCCGCACACGTACACGTGTCGAGGGGCGCCGACGGCGGCGTGTCTATCATACTACTGTCAGGAAAGGGTCTGTAAGCTCTGTAATGTCAGCACGGAGGACAGCGGTACCTCCGCGAGGATTCCGCCCACACGTGTACACGCGAGCCCAAAAATTGCAATTTTTGGATTGCCAGCAATGCCATGCGGCATGGACGCGTTGCGCCACAATCTTTTGTGGAATAATCGAGAAATCTTCAAAGGACTAGGCCGCGTCAAAGGCATCAAGCACGAGATAATACTTACGGAAGGTGCGAAGCCCATCTGCCAACCTCTGAGAAGAAGATCTCCGGGCGAACAGGACGTTGAACGAGTGGCAATGGAAAAGCTGATCAAGCTCGGTGTGCTTGAGCTTAGTATATCTCCATGGGCATCTAATAATGTCTTTGTTAGAAAGAAGGATGGAAACGTGCGGGTGACCGCAGATTTCAGGGCACTGAATGATGCCACTGTAACCGGCTCATATCCTATGGAAGACATGAGGCAAGTGCTAGACTGGCTTGGCGGCAAGAAGATTTTGTCAACATTTGATCTCAAAGACGCATTCTATCAGATCGAGTTGGTGGAGGAATCAAAGCCACTCACCGCTATCCGTACCGTTATTGGATTACTGCAGTACAAAAGACTTCCTCAGGGAATGAAGAACTCTTCTGGGACTTTGCAACGAATTTTAAATGTCGTGCTCGGCGATCGGAAGGGAAGAGACGTGCTCGCATTCATGGATGATAAAAGTGTCGGCACAGAGACTGAAGAGGAGCATTTGAAGTCGCTGGAGTCGCTGATTGAAACACTTCTGAGAGCTGGAGTGCGATTGAAGCTCTCAAAATGTAGCTTTGGGGTCAGAAGGGCGGAAGTCCTGGGACACATGATAGACAGTGAAGGAATCAGACCTTCTCAGGCGCATTTGGTAGCAATAGACCAATTGACAGAACCGGCTTCAGGAAACGAGCTGATGCGTTTCCTAGGGCTGGTCAACGTCTTTTCGGATTTCATCGATCATTTCGCCGAAACGGCTTCTCCTCTTTACGAAGTACTAAAGGGTACAGGATTTTCTAAGAAGAGAAAGCATGGGCAGAAGTTCCGAATACCGGACTGGCACCGAAGATGGGGTTCACATCAGAAGAGAGCCTGGCAAGAGTTGAAAAGCTCTCTTTGTGACCCAGAAATTCTAGTGGCGCCTGCGAGAGGTCTTCCCAAGAAGGTCATGACCGATGCAAGCTCGTATGGATTGGGAGGTGTCCTGCTTCAGCAGATGGAGGACGGGAAATGGAGACCCGTTTCCTTTACGAGTAGGCTTATGAAGCTTTCCAAAAAAAAGTTTACAGCGACTGAAAAGGAGTGTCTTGCGATAGTACACGCTTTACGAAAATGGCGTCACTATCTGCACGGGGAGAAATTCAGATTCATCACTGATCATCTTGCCCTTCGCTGGCTGCTGAGTCTGAAGGACCCAAGAGAGCGACTGGCGAGGTGAGTAGTGGACATTCAGGAGCTTGACTTCTCCGTCGAACACCGAGCGGGAAAGGAATTGGTGGTTCCAGATACACTTAGCAAGGATGCGGTGCCTAAGCCACTCTGCCAGCGCTGCTACGAGCCAATAAGGGGAGAACACCTAGAAGAAATCGTTCGGAAGGATGAAAGCGAGAGGATCACTACTGCAGTCCAGCGTCTGCAGAGGGAGAGTGTGTCTGCTGTTGCAGAAATCAATGCGTTTACAGATGGACCGACCAAGTCCGAGCTGCGACAATCGCAGGAGAGGGAATTCGGATGCCTAGAGGATGCTGCTGCATCTGGCAGCAGGAAGTTTTGGACGAAGACAGGATCTTGCACAAGGAGGTCGGCAACAATTTCGTTATTTTTGTACCTTCAGAAATGACGGACTCCCTGCTGAGGACAGTACACGGCTCAAAGTTACATGGACACTACAAGGTGGCAAGAACAATTGCAAAGCTACGCAGGAGGTACTGGTGGAGGAGCGTGGTTCCGGATGTCTTGAAATGTGTGAGAAATTGCTTGAATTGTGCTGTTGCGGAGGAAGAATGTCCACGAAGGCAAGCTTCTATGGAAATAGTGAACCCTAGACGTCGATTTGAACAAGTGGCAATTGACATACAGACGATCACGCCAAGGATACGGTCAGGGAACATTAAAATCCTTGTGATGATCGACGTGTTCACACGGTTTGTTCGAGCTGTCCCGATCCAAAATGAGAAGGCTTCCACGGTGGCCAAGGTGTTGCTAGATGAGTGGATTGCCGTGTTTGGGCCAATGGAAAGGCTGTTGACTGATGGTGGTACCAATTTAGTCAGCGTAGTAGTCAAGAATCTGGTGGGTCACCTGGGTGTGAAGCGAGTGCAGACTTATCCGTGGCACCCACATGCGAATGGCGTAGAAAGATGGAACAGAACCGTCGCCAAGGACATAGCGAGCTTCATGGAAACTGGAGAGAGCGATTGGGATGAACATGTCGCGCTCGCTTGCTTGCACTACAACAACAGTCGGCATACGGCTACCGGTATGACTCCCTTCGAAGCAATGTTTGGGATTGCTGCGTTTGAAGCCTGGAGTGAAGTTGATCTCGAGGGCACGGAAGGTGAACCTCGGGACCTCGCGGGAAGACTTTCCTTGCTACAAAAGAGGTTGGTGATGCGTGTAAAGAGATCTCGTGAACATGGCAAGTCTCAGTAGACAAGATTGTGCATGAAACCCAATATCAAGTGGGTGATAGGGTCTTGATGTGGTCATCAAAGTTGGGAAAGGATGAAGGCAACAAGGTTATATGGCCGTGGGTTGGTCCATACAGGATCACCGAGAACCTAGGTCGAGTAGGGTACGGCCTCCAATCCGAGATCGGCGCAAAGCAAGTGCGCGTCCATGTCAACAGACTCCGGAAAATTGGGCCGGGAATCGTGGAAACCGGGGAACCACAGGACGGCATTTTCCCGGATAACTTGCGTCTTTTCAAGAGAATAGAGGCAAGTGAAGTCCGAGATCGCGAAAACGAGAAATGGAAAGAGCACTGGTTCAAGGTCAGAATACATGGACGTCGCTCCACCGCTTGGACAAAGGAGTCAGATCTACCGGATACTGTGGTCAAGCGGTTTGAGAGGAAAGCTCATAAAAAGGCTGGAAAGAGGAACGCCAAAGAGTCCTCGCAATGCGAAGAGCACACGCTTGGAGAGGAGCCGTCGGAGGGATTAGTCGGTGAAAGCTCCAATCTATCATGCGATGACCAAGAGAGCGTTGGCATGTGATCTGACAAAGGACGAGTGTTGCAGTAAGTCAGGCGGTGGCATTCGTGGCACCACGACAGCCGGAGATCAGGATCGGACAAGGTGGGCAATCAAGATCGGCCGGCAACACTGTGTTGACACGTCAGAAGCTCACGGCATGGTTTCATGTTCAGCCCGTGCAGCACTTATCACCAGCAGACCGGTGGGTTAACAGTCATCTGAAAGGATGTCGAATGCGTCATTCACCTACGAAACCGTTCAACTAGATGTGGTCGATAGGAGCATCGGGGTAGTGCTGGCATCAC